CCTCCAGTGCTCCTCTGCTGCAGCCCAAGTCCTCCCACTGAGCACCACCCCGGCAACTCGTCCTTATAGGATTCCATCCCTGCCATACAGGGATACCCCTACCTTTCCTGCACCTGGCTCTGAGCTGAGGCCACCTGCCCAGCAGCAGTTGCAAAGCCAGCTGCCACTCCTTGGCGCCCACACCCCCAATCCAGACAGCACCTCCATATCTGGGACAAACCCCAATCTCATAGAGATGGATTATTGAACTTTCCTCCCAAGTTCAAACAAAGCACCAAACTGTCCACTCTGAATGGGCTTTCAAGTCCAAAGCAAAGATCTGGAGAAAGAAAGAAAGGTTGGAGGCCAAAGAGAAAGGATAGAAATATGAAAAGAAGTTCTGTGTGGTGACGAAGAACATGTGCCATTTCGCAGATGCAGTGCTTTCTCCTGCCGGTGAGGGAGTGCAGAGGAGATGAGAGGGAAGGGTCACTTCTTTTGGCCCCATCATCAATGTCACTTTGAAAACACGGGCAAGGCACCACCGTTTCATAAAGTAGTCAGATCCACACACGCACAGTGCCTGCACGCAAACATGCACTGCTCTCTGATGGTAGCTGGGACACACCCTAAATTTCTCCCTAGTCACTTCTGGTTTCGAAGAAACCAAGCAGCTTCACAGCCTGCACGCCCATGCCTTCTCCAGAGCCTGTTCCTGGCTACCACCTGTCTCTCCCTCATTCTGGGAACATCCTGTGACTGAGGGCTACTATCTGCGAAAAATGCTTTGAACTCCTGGAACAAGACACTATAGCAAAGGACTCCTAGAAATCATTACCCTGCACAGAACTTAGACCCGCGCCCAGCGCAAAGGCCACGACTGCACGGGCCAGTCACTGTGTCGCCAGTCAACGCCAGGCAGAGATCAGACCCTAAGAGAAGCCTCAGGGTCTCGCCGATCTTGACACTGGGCTGACTCTGCAATGGCCGCGTGTCTTACTTCATCTATTATCAGCCCACTTTAACATCTAAATGTTCTTCAAAGAACGTGCTCATTTGCCAGATTTCAAACGTACTAAATTCCTTTTTGGAGGAGGGCTTGGGAGGGGAGAGTGGAATACCTACTCCCCTGAAAAACCTCATTGTGTCCAGAACGCACAAGGAGCTCGGCCGCCGCAGTGCCCAGCATCCATTCCCCCGGCAGACAGCAGGCTGAGTACATTTTTCACGTGTAATTAGGCAGTGTAAGGCGATCCCGCTGCCGTCGGCTGCCCTCGCGGGTGAATGGCTTCCAGATTTCACCGCATCTCTTCTGTCTAGACTCGACGTTGCTATTTTTTTCCCCTCCTCGCTTAAAACAGACTCCAATATAAAATGCCAAAAACAGAAGTTTTGTCCCTTTTTCTCATAAAGACGTGGTCCAGAACTCGCTCTGCAGACGAGCCTGGCCCCCAGACTTCCACGAGACACGCGTCATCTGAAGCTGACATTAAAGATTGCCCGGGCGCTTTGGCGGGTCAGGCAAACTGTTTTTTTTTGTTTTTTTTTTTTTAATATGGTTTTCATTAAGAAGGCGAATATTTCTGGTGAGGTGTGGTTCAGTGCAGAAGCGGGGAGGGCCGGGAAGGGCAAGGCTGGCTCCTGCCTTTCTAAGGGAGCCGCTGTGATGCTGATACTGGAATAGGCTTCATGGGACCTGGTGGCATTTGAGGCATGAAGGAACATGTCGCCTGGGCGGGTGATCAGGGTGTGGAGATGGGGGTGCTGTTGTTCAAGCCAAAATAGTCTCCTTAGTAAAAGAAAACAGGCCGATGCTGGTGGCACAGATTCCCTTCCTTCATTTAAACATTTTCTACATCTCCTACTCTTGGGGAGTGAAATCTTTTTCTGTCTGATCTGTATTTTTATTAATGGGCTGATTACAGATGAATTTATTCAACTTCCACAAGATGACGTTCTGGGAAGGGGAGTCAGGTAGCTGAAAGCCCATGTGATTTGACCAACCAAGGCCCGGTAGATTCCTGTTTTGGTTTCATGACGCTGTTTTGTTTAATCTCATCCAAAACTTCTGCAGTTTTTAGGGAATGGGAACTTTTCCACTCTTTCCCTTGGGCGTCACGCAACAAAAATAACAAGATAGAAGCAACTTGTAAGTTTTAAAGAAAAGCATATACAAAGTAGGCTGTGATCGCTAGATATCAAAAATCAAGGGCCGGGGATTTAGCTCAGCGGTTTGGTAGCCTGCCTTGCAAGCGCAAGGACTGGAGCTCGATCCCCAGTACCAAAAAAAAAAAAAAAAAAA